GAGGTGTAATACCGCATGAAAGTGTCCAACACAAGGCATGGCATTGTACAAAGACATCATTGAGACTTCAGCACAAAGGTCCATTCTTCCAAGCTCAACCAACCACCGTAATATTCCAATCAGTTGCATATACAGTGTGTGTGTCTCTGCGTCAACAAAATCAGTGTTGTGAAGCTCAGGTTTATAACCAGAAGGTAAGGCAGCAGAGTTGTATTTTTGAGGTGAGATCCGAGACTTAACGACACATAACGCTTCAAGCAAATAGATAGCCGAACCAGCATTTTCGAGAATCACTAGCATCAACAAACCGTTTTGAATTTGTTGCACCAAGGAACGTTGTAGGCTCTGCAAATGAATCAGGCTTGAGCATGTGATGCGTTCCAAGCTTCTCCAATATAGCACGAGGATTTCAGAAACAGCCATAAGGTCATCGGTGTAAACAAAAATATATTTGTAATATTTTTTGCCATTTGACTTCAAAGCGGGTTTTCTCCAAACATCCATATCACCACAACACTGTTCGAACTCCATTTCTTCTCTCAGAGTCTTAGAAAGCGTAGATCTCCATGAGAACCCGGAAGATTTTAATCCATCGAGTGCTTTCTCCACAACAGCTGTGCGGCCCTCAAGGTCTCCAAACTCGGGTCCAAGTACTCTGTAAATCCTCTCAGCACAAGGCGCGTTCAAATACGCTCCAGCAATGTCAGCAGACAAAATATCCAAACCATTTAACAAAGCAAGCAAGAATCCAATACAAATACTCTCACGAGTGACAACACTGGCATACGTTACCAAAAGAGGAGGATCAGTTTGGTCCCCTTGAGCACATATCCGAGCCTTTTGTGTGAGGTCCATCTTAAGATCAAAGATAGTCATCAAGTCAATACAAGTATATCCAGGGGGAACAGGTTCATTTGGTCCCAAGATTCTTAAGGCAGGCACACAGTTTTAACTTCCTTTTCAATAGCATTTCCCCAATGATTGCTACCAGTGTTGGTGTCAATCTCGTAGGCACATCTCACGCCATTTGGACCAGTACCAGGCAACTCTGAACCAAATTTCTCAGTGTTGCGAGTTAAGGCTCTCCTTCTCACAGCCTTTAGAATTCTATCACGCTTCTTCAAAGTATAAGGAACCCACCAAGAGAAAGCAGGCTCAGATACAAGTTTGTTTGCAACAGCATATTCGGCCACCTGAATTGGATAGGCCTCCTTTGCAGTTTTCAAATCAATCCATTCTGTCTCATCACCATGAATTTGAGCACACAGATACCACCCTTTTGTAGTTCTTCAAGGAACTTTCTTATTCTTTACCATGACAAAACCATCATCAGCATGGACTCGTGTGCCATCCATCCTGTGATCAATAAATTCTTTCACATGGAGGATACTATTACCGTCATCATCAACATTCATCATCATTGCTTCAATAACCTTGTTTGCACGATAGGATTCAGTTTCACCGTCATGCCATTTGATTTCATAAATAGAAGTGTCCAAGACAGGCTTCTCATGATACGAACCAACCATCAAGCCATCTGCTCTTCTCTTTCTTCCACAAACAACTCCAAATTTGTCAATACCATTTTCATTCTTCCGGATCTTAACACAAACGTATTTGTCCAATTCCACCTGATCATCTTCTTCAGATGGGGCTTCCTCAAAAAGCTCTTCATGCTGCAACATTTCATCATCTTCATATCGTTCAAAGTGGGGAGTATTAGCGTTTGTGTGCAGAGGTCTGATATACTTTTCATCAGCTTCGTAAGCACCCGAAGGATCCTGTAAATCATCAATCTTGATGGGGTCAGAGTTTTTCAAACAGTTGTGCAAGTCTTTGGTAAAACGCTTTTTCAGGTCTTTAATATCTGTACTATCCCGCTCTTCTCTAGAGAGAGGAATCACACTTGAACGCTGTAAAACTTTTCCACAAGAAGTGGCACATGCAAAACACAGAGATCCGCCAATGTTAAAACTGGGTCCAAGCCAACGACACAATTGCTTATTCTCTTGACTGGAGTGTGTCGGGGACAAAGCCCAACACCAATCATAGATACCAAAATCAGCCAGATGCGAGATATCTTTCGTATTACCGGAGATCCAACCGGCACCACAGTCATCACCTTGCCGAGAGTGACCAAGCACCATGTGACTTCTAAATTCCAAACAATAGATAAAGACTCGATCCCAAAACGCTTTTGGGATCCCTCTTCTTGTCATAAAACGAACATACATTCTTGTTGCTTCACGAATACAATCTTCAGCAAGGTTTTGATCAGGATTGTAAGGCTAGGATGTATTGGAACCTGGGCCTTATTTGCGACTCTTCGAAATTCTCCAGCAGTCAACGACTGAGCATCATCAGGTCAGAGAACTCTTGGAAAGCCAATATCACAAAATAGTTCCTTGAGCAAGTTGCTCACTTCAGATTCTTTCTTCAAAGTGTAGCCACAGGCCCATTGACAGGCAGCAGCATAGACAGCAACATACTTATTTCCTTCAGCAGAAACACAGGGGCCTTGTTTGATATTGGCTCAAATATCAGCACGCAACCTAGTTGGAATATGTAATCCTGAGTTTTCATCAACAATGGAATGCGAGTATCGATTGCGATCTTCACGTTTCAGACGTTGGAGGGGTACATTGTTCACAATTATACCAAATCTCGAAGTTGATCAACACAAAGGAGATTACTTTTCATGGTTGGGATGTACAATGCTTGATCAAAGATCAAGATATACGTTTCAAGGGACAGAGGGCAATCATAAGCAACTACAACTTTCGCAACTTTAACATTAGGCACACTGCCAAGCAAAGGATCAAAGCCTTTGACTGTCAAGGTATGAGGATAGGTTGCAAGAACCAAACGATTTTTGCCAACAGCACAAGTATCAGCGTGTGAGTCAAGCTCACATTTGGGCAAGGAGTGGGAAAGGGACATTAAAACACGAACACAAGAGGAAAGGGAACAGGCAACACGTCAAACTCCTACCAACATTGCCAGAAGAGGGTGCTGGGGCTGGTGTAGGTGCGGGTTCTTCATTTTGTTGGCGGTCATGATTTTGTTCACGCAAAGTGTTCAATTCCGCAATGTGACTTGGGATGTACAATGCTTGATCAAAGATCAAGATATACGTTTCAAGGGACAAAGGACAATCATAAGCAACTGCAACTTTCGCAACTTTAACATTAGGCGTATAAAAAATAAAGAACACTACCAGGGTGCTTTCATTAGCGGAAGCAGAAGTTGGAAAGCATTTTTATTGGAATATTGCCGGTTTTTTAATTCATGGGCAAGTTTTAGTAGTTGTTTGGTTTGTAGTACTAGTTTTATTAGTCTTAGCATTCTTAGGCAGT